GAGGGTTGTCTCCCATCAGCGTTTATCAAGGTTTCACACCCCTTTTGTTTTTGAAGCCATTTAGGCGCACAGAATGGCAGGGGGAAAAAAGATGGCTAAAACTGTAATAATAACAGTAATAATAATAGAGATATTGAAATATTAGTTATAACCACTTGTCAGATGAATGAAAAGAAGGGTCTTGTTTTAATAGACAAGCTATACAGATAGCCAAGGCAAAGAAAGAGGTACGAATTTCTTCTGAACACATAGACCTGGGTTGTTTGGATGAATTCGATGGCTTCTGCTGTATGTAAAGGACGAACTCACAGAGTATGTGTGAGATTAGAAGGAATATGATAAATATCTTTAAAGGCGATATGAATATTAACTCGGTAACTAGTGTCAATCAGATGACAGGGTATTGAGCTTTGTATCCATCTGATTTTCCCTTTACTTAGCCATTAAGGGTGATGTTCGGCGATTTGACGACGTCGAATGTAACTAGCTCCGTAGGAGCAGTTGAACTGGTAAATGCACATAGAAGAGGCGAAGTCAGGTAGTCTGTCTTTGGTTCATGTGGTCATCATCGCCCGACTGCAGAATACACAACATAACTTTGCTGCATTAAATGATCTTCTTATGACATTTCTTAGGCACTGTGTCACAATTTCGCTGATGATGTCACCTCGAAATTGTAGTCTTAGAAACAATGGTTTCTTGGAGACTGTTGATACTCTGGTTTCCATATTAGACGTACGCATATTTTTAGCTAGAAACGTTTCTGGGTATCCATTACTACTGAGTAGATTATGGATGATTGGAAGTTCTTTATCAAAAGTATCATCTGAACATATAAGTTTTGCCCGAGGGACCAAATATTTGACTAGATTTTGTTTATATTACAAGGGGATGAAACTCAAGTAATCGGTGTATTGACTTTTTGACGTTGGCTTCCAATATACACTTCTTTCTACTGTTCCATCCGCCTTCCTTGTCAATCGGATATCTAAGAAGGTGGTGCTTTCGTCACTTTCTCTCTCATTGGTAACGGTTATCGCTGGGTGGACGCTATTAAATCTATCCAGTGTAATCCTTGCATCGTTCTCGTTATTCACAATAAAAAATGTATCATCTACATAATGGCAATAAAATTCTAACCCGCTTATGATACTTTCCATGAGGTCATCTTCTAATTTCGCTAAGAAAAATCCGCTAGGATTGAGCCCAGTGGTGACCCCGTAGCTACACCGTCTGACTGTCTAAAGAATTCCTTGTTGAATAGAAAGTGTACGTTCATTGTACATCGTAAGAGAAGCTTTTTGAAGTTGGATGCCGTAATTCCAATTTCTATATTTATCTTCGTCAACTCGCTACATATGAAGTCTACTGTTTCCATCAGGGGGACATTCGTGAATAGGGATGATGCGTCTAAGGATGTCATAGATTTACTATTCACACTCAAATCTCTCCTCAATAAAGTAAAAGGTATATTTGACGCTGTGCTTTACAACTTCTTTATGCAGTGGTTGCAAGAGTTGTACTAGCCATTTCTCTGTCGCATGATATGGAGAGTTTAACGTCTCAAGAATTGGTTGGAGTGGTAATCGGTTCTTATGCACTTCCGGTGGACCGTATAACCTCGGTGTTATTGTGCCGGTAGGTCTGAGTGTTTCATACAAATTATGTAATGAAGTCTTGCTGTTTCAACTTTCTTAAGGATTCAGATAACTGCGTCTTAGTCTTCTCTGTCATGTCAGTACTGGTTGGTAATTTCTGAAGCTTACTATGATCACTAAGAAAGCTGTTCATTTCATCTAGGTATTCCGCTTTGTTCATAATAACCACTACTGAGCCTTTATTGGGCTTAGTGATCAATAGATTCTCGTTCATTCGGAGTTTATATGAGGCTCCTCTATGTTTTCTAGTCAAGATGCCTTTAGCGCTTTACTTACTATTTATATATTTGTAGCAACTATCAACCGGGGCAGACTTGAATCTTTCCACCTCCTCACTTGAAGAAGGTGATATGTCTTCTGTCCGTGAGTAGAAATTTTCAAACTAAACTTAAGTGTCTATTCTATTAGGTGTAATATGACTTTCACAAAACTTAGGACCCAGAGATAATGTTTTTAGTGCTACCATGTCAAGATCAACATTGGCAAAAGTATGGACATACCGACCAGGATTCGAAAGAAATCTCATTTCTGGAGTTCGGTTCTCCAAACTTTGAATAAGGTGAATTCGTTTGTTCTCCTTCCTTTTGCTGACAACTTAATTCACATATTCTAAGAATAGTCGTTTCAGGTGGTATGGGAGATTTTCAAAAGCATGAAATCTTACTTCAACGTCTTTCATCAACTCTGTTGCGCATGTTTTCAGAGAATCGATCTGGTTAAGAGTGTGTCGTTTAAGTGTTCTTCCGTTTGGTCGAGATGTGTTGCGCCGTAAAGATTTCCAGTAGGCTTTAGGATAAATACAATAAGGTAATATGAGGCGCATTTGTATCATTCCGGTTGGCATACAGAGATGAATAGTCTCAACAAATTTTTCATTGATTTATCCTGATAGAGTGGAAATGAATGGTAGTAATGACGGTGATGTAGACAATAATAATCAAATTAATTCAGATTGTGTTGTTGCTGATGCCTGAGATAATAATAATGAAGCTGGAGTTTAAGATAAATGCTAGAGACGCTCTTTCTGTCTACTAATTACCAAGAGGCAGCTAACTTTAACCATTTTGTCTGCTTAGGCTATCTGAATTTCCCTATATAAGTAAGGCATCAGTTGTCAATATTTCTCGTTATGACCTAAAAGCGTTTTGTAGAACCTTGGTTTCGTCAAAATCAAATTTATGGCTTGTTTATATTCAGTGTAACACGATCACCGATATGTTTTCTAGCTTCTTAATCCCTGCTGAAGTTTTCGAAATCTAGTTTAGACATAGTTTATGCTCCCTCATCCGTACACTTACTTGCTTGGTTGTCTTCCCCACATATACTACATTGCAATCAGCATATTCGATTTGATAAACACAGTTTTGTTAATTTTCTTTCGGTATCACTTATTGAACTTTCATTAAGTTAGGACATGGGAAATTCGTTATACGAAAATAGACATTTATGTTGTATTTCTTAAGAATTCTTCTTATCTCTTCTGGGGTCTTCTTACGATATGGAATCATCACTGTGTTGATGCATTTCTCCACAAGGAGTTTCAGTACACATTCACATTTTAAAAATTCTTTGGAACGGTTATTTGCTTTCAGTATGCAACAAACTGACTACCTTTCCCCTCCCCCTGTATCCCCTTCGGTTGTAACAACTTGATTGGCCCTATTGATCAAATTTCGTGTTAACCGTCGAAGGATGGGTAGACTGTTATTCCAGGTATCTGTCAGAATGTTGCTGATTTTCTAAAGATCTTTTAATTTAGTTTATTGTTCTGGTGTCTTTCAACCATACAGTTTATGAAGTCCAGTTTTGGTAAATTGGATTCAAATTCCTTAGTGAAAGTAATATACTTTTGCACTCATTATTTATATATCGAAGAAGTTCGTCCAAACTGTTACGTCTAATGATAACGAATGTATCGTTTACGGGTCCGTGGAGAAGTAGAACATTTTGTAGTTGCACTAGTCTTTCTAATGCATACGTGACCAAGTTAAGAATATTGGAGATCCCATTGCTATACCATCTGTCTATCTGTAAACACCTCATTTGAACGTGAATATAGTCAATTGTAAGCATATTTCTAGAGAATTAGTTTACTCGGTAATCGGTTTCACTCTTACATCAGATTTAGGTTTGTTTACAAATGAATTTCTGATCACAAGTTACGTAGTTTTGTTACAAATAGTTTGATTCTGTAATTTATTCATTAATACACCAATGACACAGCTCTGAAGGATGCAATTTGAGCTCACACCAGCTTTAGGATTCACTTTTTCCAAAAAGAGTCTGATTACATCTCCAAACAACCTTTTTATTTTTACATCCTGGTGGATAGGTTTCTCAGCTTTCTTGTTTATAGTCAATATCTTTCAACTTTGTATCCGTAAGTATGTTATGTACTTTGCACCATTAAGTTGCAAATTACCCTTGCAAGATTAGAAGGAGCCTGTGCCTCGGTGGTGATCCGTTGGAGGTAGTCGAAAAGTTCGTGTATCTCAGTAGTTGTGTGCGGTGAAATTTCCAGCAGCATATCGAAAGCCAGAGTTGCATATGTCTATCTGGGTCACCTTTGGGGCCGTCGCTACTACTCTGATAGTAAAAAGTCGGATTTACAAAGCTTCGGTGCCAGTATTTCTGCGCTACACCTATGAAACCTGGCCTCTAAGCTGAGGATATGCGGTGACTCTGTGTTCGACCATCGTCTCCGTAAGATTACTTGTATCTAGTTGCAACACCGTGTAAGTAATTCTGAGGTACGACAGCTTATGTTTGAGCGTCATGGAGGTTGTCATTCAACAAGTGGTCATGTGAAAATACCGGCTTCGGTATCTTGTACATGTGTTACGCATATCATCCTAATGACTTCCACACCTTTCATTGTTTGCTAACTCTGGGATCGGATGGAAGAGGCGGAGAGGTGGTCAGTGTATGACATGGCGCCGTGGGATGAAGGATAGTTTTATCGGGTTAGCATCTATTGGTGCATCACGACTTTCTGGATAGAGTCCGGGGAATCACGCAGCTCAGTGGTTTGAGATGTTATGAGATATGGCTGAGAATTGAAACCAGTGGCAGTCATACTGTAGCTTTCTTCTATCTTCTGCTGCTGAAAAGTAATGAATGTTTTGTTTTGAATGTACCTTGCTAGACTGCCCCTTTAATCATTCTATTCTTATTGTTTCTCTCTTTAACTTATCCACTTCTCTTTGCCTTATATCTTCATCATGTTGTTATACTATTTTGTGTGGGGCGTTTCTTGATGTCTTTACTGTACCACTTTTGTGTTATAATGGTGATAATATAATAGCTGTAAATATATCAGCATTTTATAATGTACTTTTTTAGAGACTATTGATATTCGGTGGTGCAACAAAGTCAGGTCCTTTATGTCAACTACTTCGTTTACAAATCGATGTTCACTCAACAATGACGCCTACGATGGCAGCAACAACATTGAATTCATCAGTTCCACCTGAAATACAGTCAATTAATGCGAGTATAAAGCAGGATGACAATCAAACTGCTATAGAACAATTTATCTGGAAACCTCGTACACAGCATTCGTCAGTTTCACTTACTGAACATGATCAACTTTTGATATTCTCCGGTGGAGATATTGGTAGTCAAACAGTACTTGATGAGAAAGTAAGTACAAGTGAAAATTGGCTATGCTAATTCACAACGGTTTTCTAGACGAGGCTGTTGTGTCCGCTTGAGATGCCTACTGTCACCGTTCCTGTTTAACTTCATCATAGACGTACTAATGGGCATAATCTTAGCTACTTCTGACTTCTCAGGGATTGATCTACTCCATGAAGGTTATCTGGTTGACTTGGAGCATTCCTCTTCTAGATGAAGACGCTGAAAAAATGCCGGATCTTCTGAACGTCTTGAGCAGAAATTTGAATGTTTGGTATGCACCTCGTACTTGTCAAATGTAAGATGGTCCTCCAGGACTGGTCTGCGACCGCTCGCAGTTTAATAGTGTGGTGGGATGCGTCAACCACTTCACTTGCTTGGAGAGTTGCATCACCCTGAACGGGCTAACGAAATCTCAGCTTGAATACAAAAGGTCTGTTCGATATTTGTCAACTTGCGTCATCTGTGGCACCGACTGGCGAAATATTCGACTGCCTAGTGAAGGACAGGTATACTCCACTACAGTTCCGCTCTGTCATATTATGTGATTGCGATATTTGGCTATTAAAAAAGATGACGTGAGGAGGTAATAGGTTTCTAGCCCTAGGTGTCTTCGTAGGATTGTTCATGTATGATAGAATCATCAGGTGGACAATGTCTAGGTTGGGCAAAGGGTCCTCAAGTTTTATTCTCACATTAATACGCTTGTTTTGTTAACTCAGCTTGATTATGGTGAAAGCAGTGTTTATTACTTGGAAATGGTTCTCGCCATTGGAATTAACGTACGGGGTCTCGCATAACTACTAAACAGTCCAAGTTACCATGATACTGATATTCTCAACAATTGTGTGTACGTTCTTGTAGCGTATAATTAGCTACACTTTTTGTATGCGAGACCCAGTGGTACTACTCAGTGCTCAGACCTTGGCAGATGGAGCAGGGTCCGAACCGGTAACATTACAGTTGAAAGTTGATTGCATAAACCAGTGACTGGCAGCTTTAAGTTGCTATGTATCACACCAACAAAAAGAAAAAGTATCATCAGAAGTTCATTCTGAATATACTTCAATAAATATCAGGTATTGTGGCAGAGGGTGAGTTAGGATACCCAACACATGTCCAGACACCTGAGTCGATGAAGGTTCACAACCTCATCAATCGGTCTATTTCTTTTTCTTAAGGTTCTACACCTAACCTCTGTCATGCTAAGGTGGTGGTTCCATAGCACATAACCAATGCTTCTGAGACAACAGTAGTCGAACAACTTAAGTCGTTCTATCCCCTTCACTTGTAATGCTTATTTTTTTTACAACCAAAGAGAAGTACAGAGAGAACTACGGTCCAGTATACTCGAATCTTAATAGGTAGTCGGATACCTCACCGGCTTCATAGTTAATCGTACGGAAACTTTGTCGGTCAATGATGGATAAGGATGATTCGACTTCTCAACTGGATTAATGAATTTTTGTGTTCAACCACTTCACTCCCTAATGTTAGATGATTTTTTGATGAGGATCAGTCCTGGGAAAACAATTTGGGCCTAGATGAGAGGAAACACATTTTAAACACTTAAATTGTAGCTTAAAGTATTCCGAAGACTCTATATCTTATCGGTGTCCTCGGTTAATGGAACTATCAAATGCATACTCAAAATCGATTAACGAGTATCCCACTTCGAGTTCAATCTCTCAGATGAAGAAGGAGGGACTTCTTAAATGAAAATATTTTCTATGTATTCTCGCCGTTTTTTTTTTCACGTTTTTATACTTCTTTATGTGTTGCGTTTTATCGTGCTCAGGTCGTGTTGAGTTTATGTTACTTAAGGTATTTTTATTCATTAGGTGTATATGTACGATAATGTAGTGAATTCATGGACGATAATACCAGTTGAAGGAATATCACCTTGCTCACGATTAGGTCATTTAATATTGTATGAATCTCCATATGAGTTAATCAATTCTACTTCTGAACGTATTCCAAAAGGAAATTTGTATATACATGGAGGAATGGCTGGCGGAGAACTATTTGATGATCTCTATGCCTTGCATTTTGAACAAGTGAGAATAAATATGAAAATTATTTTTAATCTCCATTTGTTAGTTATTTTCCTACTAACCATTACTTAGTAGTATTACCAGTTCATGACTTTCTCCTCTATTTCATTGTATATCAGCTCTATTCAACTCACTTAGCTCAAGTGATGTGTTCAACTAGGCTACATTCCATAGCGAGTCTCTATGGTGAAATGACACTAACCCCGTTGTTTAGGTGAATGTGAATAGAATAGACTTGAACACACATTATTCACTTATGATCAGTCAGTGTTACGCTGTCTGAAAACCTGTTAGGGATGCCTATATCCCTTATATTCCATACTTACAGTTTGGCTATATTTGAACTATTTTACTTCTCGCTCTTTTCCTACTCATGAGTCATATGACCCGCTAGCGTTCTGCTTGGCTCCTGCCTCTTTAAGTGTACTAATTATTCCTTGCCTTTCAAGGTTCCTGTAAGCTCTATAAGTAGGGTCGATTTTCACTAATGAGCGTTTTCAGTCCGAGATACTATAAACTCATCTGATTTCCAGTCTTTTGATTACTCTTTGCAGATCACTCACGTTGAGTTGTCTCAATCCTCGACTTTGAGTCATTAAGTATTTTCGTTCGTTCTCACAACTCAGCATCATAACAAAACCACTTTGTTTTCTCAGAGAAGTTATACTTCAGTAACCTTGGGTTTCAATCTTTAACCATTATCACATATGATACTCAATAAATCAGAGAGAAAACGCCTCAATGTCACCTAATCTCATATCGAACTCAAAGGACCAATATATAGTTTATCTTACATGAACGGCGTTTATCCGGAAGAATGAGTCGCATGCTTAAATTAGTTTTAAGATTGTAGTTATCGATTACTGGTTAATATACATTTCAGTTGCTTCGCAATTTTAATCCTTTTTATCACTAATAACTTAAATAATCTAGTAGTATTCGAATTCAAGAATGTTAAAGGTAGTCATGAAAAGTCAATGTACTCTGTAAACAGATAGCACAAAAACAATCAGTTGTAAATTACCTACATCATATTGTTCTTCATGGCAGAATTTAGTTTGGCAGATGTTTCACTACCAAACTAGGCGCCATCATTAGTAGTACAAAGGTCACAAAAGTACTCTCCAGCAGATAGTTCACTACAAACACTCCTACTTCGATATATTTATACCTCACAAGAAGTGGCTATCGTGACTAGGTGCCCTAGGGGATAATGCTCTGGAGTTTGAAGCGACCTGTCTTAGTGGGAATAACACCGCTCACTGGGAGGCAGCTAACGAGTCCTAAGTAAGACGAAACGTGTTTCCTGGATTGCACTTCTAGTCGTTGTCCATCACTAACATATATCACATTTAGTTTGGAGGTTTACGGGGATTAACTGATTTCAAATTGATATCCATTATGAATTAACATTATTTGGAGACACACTGAAAACCTAGGAGCTATGGACAGCTGTTTCGTCCTTATATGGGACTCTTCAGCGATGCGCACCGAAGACCCTGACAGAGGTCGTCATCATTCAGCCACTGGGTTGGAGTCCGTTTGTCCACAGTTTTCTACTCCTATCAGTTGTCAATGTAACGCAATTATCCACCAATGTCTTCCGTTGGCATCTGCCTCACTTCGGACTGGTTGATCCCACTGGTCATGGCTCCTTATATCACTTTTGCACCACAAAAATTAAAGGTCGGCATTATCAATCTACATGGAATCAACTGTACATATTTAATAACTGTCTTTTATGATCTTTATCTTCATGTTTTAATTCAGTGTTACCATTTTAACTGAACTATGAACAATAAAGTTATGAAGGTAGCAGTTTAGGTCATTTAAATCAGTTATCATTCATTCAGTTACCACCTCTTTCAATTTATCAATGAAGTTAATTTGTACTTATTTTTGTTCTCATGAATTCAATGAACTTTACTCATCCTTACTATGATTACAATACTCAGCAAGTCTTTCTAAGGACATAAGAGTTAGTTAAAGCGTTTTGTTAAAGAGCATAATACAAACAAGTCCAACTTACTTGTTTCCAAATGTTTAGGTGTCTACGTGTAGTAGTTATTTCGTTACTACAAACCATAATGCCAGCTAAATTGGATTTAATTATGTCTAAGATGATTATTGTCATCTTTCATTTTGATTATTTAGGTGTATAATAAAGTTGCTCTTTATGTTTTGGAATATAGTTCAGCAGTGAATTCAATATTCCATTGAACTCACCTAGTAAGTATTAGAAACTGTCACGCTCGTATGATTTTGAAATAATGGAGAATATTAGTAGCTCCTTTAGTCTCTCCAGCCGCATTATCCTGGAGAGGCTAAAGGATGCACTGGATTCAAAACTACGACCGGAACAAGCAGGCTTCAGGAAGTACAAATCATGTGCGGACCAAACTGCAACGCTTCGCATCATCATAGAACAGGGTATAGAATGGCAGTCAACTTTCCACCTCAACTTCATCGACTTTGAGAAGGCCTTTGACGGCGTCGACCGAGAGGTAATTTGGAAACTGCTTCATTACTACGGAGTACCGCAAACCTTTATCAACCTCATTCAACAACTATATGAAGATGCCACATGCCAAGTAATTCACAATGGGAAGCTCAGTGATGCTTTTGAAGTGGAGACAGGAAGGAGTAAGACAAGGCTGTCTATTATCACCCATGATATTCCTGATTGTGGTCGACTGGATCATGCAGCATACAGTGAGGAGCGAGGAGAGGGGGATACGCTGGACTGCGGAAAAGAACCCAGAAGATTTGGATTTCGCCTAGGACTTGTGTCTAATGTCACACAAACTTGAAAATCTACAGGCGAAAACTAACAAGTTGACAGAAGATGCGGGGCGGCGAAGACGGGACTTCAAATGAGTATAGAGAAGACAGAGGTGATGAAGATACCCAACTGACAACAGCATCAGCAACAACAAGCTTCAATCAACATCTAGGGGAGAAACTTAAGGGAAGTAGCCTCTTTCACCTACCTAGTCTGGGCAGCATGGTTTCAACTACAGACGGCACACACGAGGATGTCAAAGCTAGGATCGGAAAGACAGCAAGACAGGCGTTCATTAGCCTAAAACCAGGGTGAAGATCTTCTGCACTCAACATAAAGCATGAACAAGATCCGGATTTTCAGCAGCAATCCAGTCAAGTCAGTGCTCCTGTATGGTTAAGAGACTTGTCGCGTTACAAAAGGGATTTCCAACAAACTACAGACATTCTTCAACAACTGCTTACGCTCGCCACTGAGGATCAGATGGATTGCCAGAAAGAATAAGCAACAAGGAGCTCCGGCAACGAACTAACCAAGGACCTATCACGCAGCAAATATGCAGAAGGAAGTGGAGATGGATTGGGCATACACTGAGAAGGCCGGCTGGGGACATCACGTGCCAGGCGAGGCCCTTGAGCGGATCCCCGATGGGAAGCGACGAGTGGGGCGCCCGAGGATGACATGGAGGAGATCGTGCGAGGAGGAAATGAGAGCTTGTGGGCTGTCGTGGAGCCAGGTTCAAAAGATTTTAGAGAACAGAGTGGAATGGAGACATGCTACTGAAGCATTATGTTCCATTAGGAACCCAAGGGATAAATAGAAAAAAATAAATAAATAGTAGCTCAGGTGGATGGTCTTGGTTGTATTGTGTTCTCTGAGCTCGGTTGTTTAATTGTGAAGCTTTCATCGTCTTGCTAGACAACGAAAGCTTCATGATTAAACAATTCAGCTCAGGGAACACAATACAACCAAGTACTAGACACTTTTTCACAGTGTCATCACAAAGCATATTTTTTATGAGTGAACGATAGATACGTTTCAATTCTATGAAATACATGAAGTATTCATCATGAACTGACATCATTTAAAGAAACATTGAAGAAAAATACAATCCCTTATAGACCTCAAAATAAATTAATGTCTACTGCCTATTAACAACATGCCTCGAAATAGACATCTCGAAGTTTTAATGAGAAACTGTGACTTGTGGCGTCATCAAAGTTGGGAATGAAGCGGATCTCAACTGAAGACGTTGGTGAATAGTTGCACTATATCGCGAATTGACAAAAGTGGGAAACTGTAGACATTGGTTGAATGGTTAGGTGCTCGCCGTAAGATCTGATGGTCCTACGTTCGATTTATGGGAGAGTCTTGGTTGCGTAGTGCTGAGGAGTCTCATGCTGGGATGAAATAGCTATCAAGTGCTACCAGGTTCTCAATACTTTTCTAATTGATGTCACTTTATGATGAATACTACATCCAATTAAAAAAAACCTTTATAAACATCAAGCTGAAATATACACATTTGTTTTTGTATTTTTATAATCTTCAGACAAATAATGATCTAAATTTTAAAGGTGTTTGGAATAAATTATTTCCTACTATTCATCAAAATACAATGGATAAACAAGATTACTCAAGTTCCAGAGATCTTATATCTGCTAAACTTGTTTCACCAGGTCCACGTGCTGCTCATGGTGGTACAATTTTAACCAATAAAATTTTTGGAATTGATAAGAGTAAAATATTGATATTTGGTGGATTTTCGTCTAGTGGAGCTCTAAATGATATGTTTTGCTTCGATACAAGTTAGTGAAAAAGATCTGTTCAATGTATTAAAATAATTTTCAGAAATAATTCTTACCTCTAAAAAAAATAATAGAGTTGATGCAGTTAATTTAAACATAGGCTTATTCAATTGTCAGTATTGTTTGTTCAATTTTGAAATAGCTGAAGCTAGCTGATCATAGTTTTTTCTTAGTGTTTTGCCTAAATGCTATAGACAATTAGTATTTATTATCTATAAGTCACTGTGTGTGGTGGAGTGATACAACACGAGTTGAATTTCATCTTTACCAATAAGTTCAGTGATGATTCATTTAAAGGTACAATTTTGATGTTCGTTTGCTTGGAAATACCTTGAATCCTATACTCATGTAAATTGTACAATATAGGAAGTGATATATTTCAATGATAACATACATTCTGATATCTGAACAATTTTAGTGCCTATAGACTTCTTGATTACACATTGAATATGCTTAGTCTTACAAGATAAACCTGAGGTTACATGGAATTGCAGTAGTTTAAGAAAAAACTTATTGGACAGTAGTTTCATATCACAGTTACACTAACTGTAGATGTTTCGATATAATTCGAGATTGAATTACTTGATCGACTTTGAGATTAAATGAACTCTAGTGAGGATGGTGTGACTTCTCCTCTGTTCAGTCTGATTTGATACCTACTAATTAAAGCCTCCAACCGTTAACTTTGTTACTTTGCACAGAAGAAACAATGAAGTATGATGGCTTTGTGATAAATATTTAGTTAAATCTTTTTTCAACAAAAAAACTTCAAATGAACTAATGATGAAAAGGTCAAGTCGATAGCAGTATAAAAAAGATTGACATGGAACATTGAAAAAAAGAGTTAAAGTTGTTGGGAGATAAAAACCAGGAAACATTTCAGCAGAAATGGGTGATGGAATGAATATGATTTCTTCAACACTAGTAACTTAAAATTGTACATGAAATTTAATGTAATATTTTTATAATTTCATAGGCTTATGAACAAATAGTTGGTTTAGTGTCAGTATTTAGTAAGAATCTAATAAAGTGTTTTTAAAACTTCACTACTAATCGGAATTCACAGTCGAACAGCAGTTGAGCAGATGAAAACCCTGCGGATGAAGATTAGGTTTGCAAGGAGACATTTAAGAATCTCATCTTCTCAGCGGTTCGATGGGAGATTAATAGTGAATGAGCATAGTAGTTCCCTTTAAAGTTATATTCATGAACTACATTAAACCGCTTTTCTATGAGTAATGTAGTGTAGTGTTGGTCTTCTAGATCCCCAACGATAAACAAACCTAAGCTATAAGGACGTTTTGGAATGTCACTCCTTGGTTGATCACTCCTAGTGCTCCATAACGTATTATCTGTATGTTGTATAATGGCAGTCTCCTGTTACGGGTAATCGCTGCAGCCTCACACCTTTCGACAACGTAACCAGTCGTAAAAAAGATGTAACAGTTTCCTCTCTGGGACAATGACCATGACACCGCATTAATTCTGACTTCCCTCCATTAGAGAAGGTATGATCATATTGTATTGTATTGTATTCTCTTTTATGGAAACCAACATGCCATAGTTGTTCGTACGTCTTGGACACCAAATACATCACTTCAGACTGAAAAATGACTGTGTGTATTGGTTTACATAGTTCGGCTAGATACAAGACATTACAAATCAGACTTAAAAGTCGTCGTTGACCACAGATACGCTGCGATACTAACGTTATATCTATTAACTTCTAATTTGACGGTTTTTCGTTATCAGGAAGTTGGCGCGCATAGACCCATAAGCCTGGGCTAATTGCGTAACTATCGACAGCTCCAGAATTTTTTACCTCATCAGATATAAATTGGCATTGATTTTGACTAGAATTTGTGATTACTAATCCTGTGTTTCCTCGACTCACTACCTTACTGTTAATCCTAGATTTCAAATCTCTATTTATTTCTATATATGTAAAGTATGTTATGCCGTTATTACTACTAATACTTTATTCCAAATGTAGGATGTTTGTAGTTGATGAAAGGCCATGAAGTAAAATGACCTCATTTTACCCTCCAAATGTCTTTGTTCTTGCATTGTTCAAATTGGTCAAGGGAACTAAATGTAATAAACATGAGTGTCTATGGAGTTCAGTAATAACCTATAAGATGATGAAAGAAATGAGACGAGCACAAAGTTTTACCGTGGTAATTGTTTCTAAATATGAAGTATCATTAGTTAAATATCTACCTGACAGGTTAAAACAGTATGAAGAAGGAAACCAAGATCATAATCAGTGATAATGGTGGAGTAATTACTGATGAACAAACTAAAAAAGTAGAAAAGGCAGGGTTTAGGCCGAAATTAAATCAGAGACTTAACCTGTTTTTTCTGCACGCAGAGATATGGCTTCCACTAGTGAAACGTGTATAGTTCGTGAAGTTGGGCACGTATTGAACTCTTTCGCTTAACTTCATGGACAGTTGTAATTGATGACGCAGATGGAGTTCTGTTACTGGAACTAACCAGATTTTCAAGTATTGGACTGTTTATTCATTTCCATCTCTTTCTCGGCAATCAAATAGGACAATACTCTGAAATACCTGTAGAAAGAGCACTCTCGTTTGACCAATGTAACTAATTCCACAGGACCAAGTTAACCTGTAGTTACACATTGAAGTGGTCAGAAGTAGCAGAATTTTTTACTGATGCTTCTCTGTATCAGTTGCTAACTAGAGAAGATAATACAGAGCTCAGCAACAACAATTGTCTTTCGTGAAGATCTAGAGCGTCAGTTTTTCAAAATTTCCGCTATTGAACCATATTTGAAGTCTACACTCATGAACAGGATTTTTTCTGGAAGCGTTGAAAGTCGTTCGGTATCTTTCTTGTTTCGCCTTCACTTGTTTCTTGACAAATGTAAAAGATGTAATAATTTTGAAGTTGTAGTTTTGTTGAAGTTTTTCTATTTCATCATCAATCGTGTCTTTGATACAGATCCGCTTGGTTCTGGAAGACTCTGAATGGATTAGGTTTATCTTTTCTGTTCTGTAGTGTTCGACTCTGTCCGTTCTATGTTGGCTTCCTAGGAATGAATCTTTGAAGGAAGTCATCTAATCTTCTTAAGAGAACATCCATAAAGTGTAAATTCTAGAGCATCCCAGGATCTAAGTTAAACTTGATTGATTAGTAGGAAATATTAAAACTTCCAAGTGTAATCTCTAGATCAGATGATTAGCGTACCAACCATGTATCTCTCATACAAATGAGACTTACCAATCATCGACCGTATATTTGAATCGAGACTTAACGTTGAAAATAAAACATAGAAACAGATAGTTTATGTAAGTGGTATAGTCTTAAGAAAGTGAGGTAGCACCAACACAGATCATCCATTTACCAGACACATTGACTTCACTTATTTGAATTGTCAAAGTTGAATGAATCTAACTCACTATGTCTATTCAGATGGTTTCAAATTGACTAAAGGTCTTTAGCGAACTATTTAGCAACAACATGGTAGGACCAGTTTTTCATATCTAAGGTGGTACGTAATAAATGACTCTTCTTCTGCGCTTTCGAAGACTATATAGGCGAGATATAATGGAATCAAATATTGAAATAATTCAATATGAATGAAATCAATTCATCCATCATTCTTCGGAAAAACTGAGTTTATATTTTATTTGTTTACTCAGTGTTTTTTAAGCGACTTTATCTGACAAGATGTAGAATATTTTTGTGATGATTTCAAGAAACAAATGTATAATTTGACAGTAACAAATACTTCTTTGTTCTCACTGTTCATTATACTTTAGAACTTATCACATAAAATAAAAAACTTTATCGACTTTTTGAATGAATAGATTAGAAAGTGATCCATATAAAAGGATATGATAGGCTATTCTCCTCTTGAGGATGGATATATGGACGTTTGAAACAATAATAAAGACATCTCCAAACCCGTAAATTTATTTCCCAATGATATTCAACATTATTAATGTACAGTATGATGCGGAAATTGCCAATGGTTCTGTCCCTTACCAGCTTCAACCAGCAATTTATTAAATATAGTTGATAGATTGACTGAATACCCATCTAAAGCATTTCTTCTTTTCCATCTACATATCACTAAGTGGTTCAGTCTTATCCAAGAATTGTTTGTAAATTATATAAATGATTGTTTCAATGTCTACCATTTTTATGCTTGTATTACTTCTCTACTAAACAAATAGAACAGAGAAGAACACATAACATTTAAGAATTTTTATCTTTGAGTAAATTTTATAATCTATCTTGTGATTTCTTATTGAAGTTTGTTACACCCCCCCCCCTTTCGCTTCACTTTTCATTACATCAGACTTACGACAATGGAGTGAAATAAGATATGAAACTTCTATATTGCCTGGTCCACGTTTAGATTTTGCTTATTGTATGTTCACATTGATAGTGGAGAAAAATAATTCGAAGATCAATTTGGCAAGAGTGAAAACAAAATCACAAAAAGGTACATTACTGTTTCGCATATGATTTAGTTATCATTTTGACTATCTGAGTAAAGTAGCCGTGGTTTGGCAGACTAGTATTGATACCAAGTCATGATTTCGTTGTTTGTTTTTCGTGTTGTTGACTGTTTATCGTAACTACAAATTGACAAATTTCTAGTTTGGTGAACTTTTCTATTGTGTTCTGTAACTCTGACTCCACATGTGATCGAATCCATTTGCAATTGCAACATCTCATAAACAGTTGCAACCGCGGATTAGTTAAACAATTTGCACCCATTCCCTGCCCTGTATACAATGGAAGACAAGGAATTGATGCTTACTGTTCTTGTGTGTTTGCGATGAGTCATATATACACTTAGAACATGGGCCTCCTCGGATCTTGAACTGACCCCTTTTTTCCACAGAATATACTGTTCCAGGTTGTTTTAAGTAGTTAAATATTCCTTCCAATCATATTCCCTGCTTTTGCGTATTTTGAAATTCCTTTCAATCTATCTACCTTGCAAGTTCGAAATAAAATTTCGGAAAAGCACCACGGTAAGTGGGACTGGGCTCTTAAGCGTACGGCATTAGATTAAATGGTCATTCTTGAAATAGTTAGCTTGAAGTGCAGGTCTTTGCTGAAAAAGTTGACTACTTTCGATCACTCTTATCGAGAAGTGATTATCGTAATTTGCAAGAAACGTGACGTTAATTCCCCTCTCACTGTCGTTCACACTGTGATCATACTGTCTCTCTTTTTTTACGTTCAGTTTTATACTACTTCGTATTATTAAGTAGTGTAATTTGCGTAACCGTATAATGTTACTTCGTCCACAACTTGACTATTCGTTGTATTCATTTGTATCTTGTTCGTTATTTAACATCCCTGGATATTAATTAGTATCCTTTATGGTTCATGAAAGTGTTGGTATTTCTTTTTTTTTCCTCGATATTATTTTTTATGGTTTGCTGTGGACACAGCCTTGGTGTCTTACTGTTGATAAACTCTGTAAGGTGAATGTTGACATTGATAAACGCACAGATACATCACGGTTTGAGGTTTACAGTTTACTATTCACTATTGTTTATTCATGAAGGACCATATTTCAGACAAATCCTGTGTTTTGAATCTTACGAATTACTCGAGCGTATGGTTTATTGTTAGAGAAATGCTTTGGTTCCGAATTTCTTGGAAAGAAATTCATTCATAACTTTAAAATAGTTAACTCCATCTTCTAATTATTCTCTTCAAATTTGTGAAAGCGATAACCATACGCAAATGGAAACATTCTGATAAATGTGAAGCCTTTGAGCGAGATCTGCTGCTGAACTCTGAGCACTTTTTCATACATGCTTTGCCTAAAGTGAATAGTAAATTATACAAGAAGGCTTATGCAAACTCTCCCGAGAATTCCAAAACAAATGGTATTCACGGAGCACTATGGTGTTTGAGAAGCACGTTACTAGGAACAGCCTGTAATGTATTCGTCGGTGAAGTTTTAGACGGTACTATTACTAAAATCAGGTGCTATCTTAGTTTCTACCTTGACGTTTGCTGCCCTAGTGAAATAATCTTCCTGAGATTTGACAGACTCTTCTCATCTCAAGAAGCTCTGAAACGAAAACGAAAAACTATCTTAAGTGATGGATAGTCAAGGTATTAAAAGACTTGACTGTCTAATTCACTCAATTTTAAAACGTCTAAATACACTACACAAGCAAAAGTTTCTGTCATTTTAGAACTCTTTCATTACATAGGAATTATTCAAAGAACTTGGTAGTGGAAAACTGATGACTGTTGAAGCTTATTCTGGTATCTGTACTTTGAACCAGTCATTTGTATATCAACCAGGTAATTCAACCCTACCTTGGTCGTAATACAAACGATGTTTTCTGTGTCTGAAATCATTTAATGCATCTCGAAGACTAAATCCTAATGATGTTTCAAGGATCATATTTCAAAAAATGTGCAGATATTTTATATCATCCCTTTACAGATATCTTAAGTGTGTAGTTTTACAAAAATACAATACCTGCTGCTTCGAAGGAGATCAAAGTTGTACTCGTACCTAGTTCATCTGAATGTGATATAAAGCTTACGCTAATTGCTATAACCTCTGCTTTCTTTGAAACAATGGAGAAACTACTTCTATTTATGCTTGAACCTTCATTGATGGCTTTCAGAGACAAAAGTGATAAGTATACTCTTTGTGCCCGCTTAGATCACATATCTGTCTTCAAATTTACTCCCAGACAACTTGCATTCTTATTTTCTTAAAAGGAAACAAAACTGTTTATGAAGGGAAACAATCTACTTCACTGCTTACTGAAGACAGTGTATCTAAATGTACTGTACTTTCTCCTTTTCTTAATTTTTTTCTCACTGTGCATGACTTGCCTAAATCTGTTAAAAACTAATTTAATTAGACTGATAACCTGATGGTTTCTGTGATTGTTCTCTCTCGATAAGACTGTTCTCAAATGAATAGTTTCTTATCTGAAATTGACTAGTGATCTTCTTCAAATGGTCTTTAGCTAAACCTTTTTAAATGTCTCAAGCATAAAGATGACTTCGACGAGGTGCCTTTATTCATTGACTCCTACAGTATTCATAGTATTACGGTAAAAAGCGAATCGGGTGTTACCTATCTTCGATTGCATTTTATTTTGTGATCTTTGTTGGTCATCTAATATCTTGTTAACTTACAAGAAAATCTCTCGTTTGACATAGTATATAAATAGATTGAGACTCTCTGGTATAACTCAACCTCTACGTTTACAGTTTGTTAATTCCTGCATTTTACCTATTCTTCTCTATTGCCCCACGTTGATCTTTTATCATCTTATAAAAAAGGATTATGTTCTATTGCGTAGGGCTTTGAAAGCCGTCAGCAGAGTGAGTAGTGTGCCTCTAGCCCGTTTGATTAACACTGTAGTTGATAGACATTTAAATTCTAGCAAGCAACTAGCTACAGTAATTTTATCTGATGCTCAGCATAAAATTGAATAAACAGTTCTCTCTCCATGTATTTTCTCAGGGAGAACAAGAAGCAGCTACATAAAACTCCAGGCTCTTACGGCTACTGGTAGTGTTTACATTATTTAACTTCTACAATTTTTAATGTTGAATATTTTGTAAAAGAATTAATCATTGTTGAAATATTACATGTTGAGAAATATTATCTAGGAACAAAATGATCGTTTGAATCATTAAGTCACACGTCTACAACATAATACAATACATAAAAATAACTCAAAACGGAATATTGTGATATTAGAAATGATACATGCAGCAAATTTTTCAGAATCATGTATCATACGGAAATGGTTCCCAGTGTCAAAAAAATCTTCTAAGCCCCGCTAAGCAAAATAATACTGTTTATTGATCGTAATAATAATAATATTGATCACTTTATTGCACAAAATTTTTCATACAATTTAGATTTATCAGCATGATATATTGCAATAACAACAAAACACATGTCTATATATACTTATTTGCAACATTTCGAATAGTATCATTATAAGGATTCAAGCAATACAAGAATAGTAATGATGCATAGTGGCTAGCAGTGGAATCCAGGAGGCGCATTTCGTCCTATTTAAGACTCGTCAGCTGGATGTACCTGCTTCCCGCTGAGTGATATTGTTCCCACCGGGATTCCAACTCGCTAGCGATCGCCCCATCATTACTATCATTAGACCACAGGTAATATCGAGGCATACGCACAGCAGCCCACATGCCAATAGAGACCGATCAACTCGGTCCAATCAACGATGGTATGATATAAAAACAATCATACCAATGTAAAGAATATTAAAAACGAGAACATTTTACATTGTTAATCAAAGTATGGAAATGAGATTGTTAACTGTTACAAAGTTGATATGTGAGTTCTGTCCTAACACGTTTTTCCTCACATAATATGTGTACTAGGTAAGGTAAAGTCGAGTTCTTATGTATTTAGCTGTACGAGCGTACAGTCTTATGCAGTTTTCTTCTTGTCATCCCTGAGAAGATACAAGGAGAGAGCTGTGAATGAAGTAGACTCTGAGTGTCAGTTAAATTTACTGTAGCTGGCTACTTGATAGAATTTAAATGTCTATCAACCACAGTGTTAATCAGTTGGGCCAGAGGCACACCACCAGTCCTACGCAATAGAACATAGCCATTTTGTAACAGACCAGGAAAGACTAGTGGGGAACAATAGGGGAGAATAGGTAAAATTCAGGAATTAATAAACTGTAAACATAGAGGTTGAGTTATACCAGACAACCTCAATTTCTTTATGTAATACGTTTAACGAGAGATATTTTTACAAGTGAACAAGGTGTGAGACTATGAATAGAGGTCAGGAGTAAAACTCAACCCAAGATAGTTAACACTCAATTTACTCTCTACACAAATACCATCAACGCAACAGGCGTCAACAAACTTAAACACCTCACACAAATCTTCTTTACGCCCGAAGCTAACACTAACTGTCTGACATTTAGAAGGGTCTAACTTGAGACCATTTGAGAGAGGCCACTGATGAATAAGAGATCAACAAGAATCCATCTAATTCAGAGCAATCTGTATGAGAGTTAGCACTGTCAGGTCATCAGTATATTTAACAGAATTAGTCTCAACAGAATCAGGTGAGTCGTGCAAAAAGAATGGAAATAGAAACGGAGGAAGTACTGGAAGTTGAGGCACATCGGCTTCAGTAAGCAGTGAACTGGAGCACTTCCATTTATGGACAGTATACTGTTTCCTTTCATAGAGACAAGAAAGAATACAGCCACTTTGTAACCCATGGGTGAGTATAAGTCAGGGTAAGTTTAATTAATTAACAAGAGTGGTCTAGGAACAAACTCAAAGACTGATGAGTAGTGGGGAAGGGCACAACAAACATACCTTTGTGTAGACAAGAAATATTATTGTGATGCAAGACAGTAGCAGCATACAAAGTGCTTCTCCAGAGTTTGTACGCAAACCGTTTTCAATCCCTAGAAACCATCAATGGAGGTTGAAGTTCAAGGAGAAGTAATTTCTCCATTGTCCTCAAAAAAGGTGAAGTTATGGTTATGTGTCGAAATGTGACATCTTATCCAGAAGATGACTTAGTCACAAGTAGAATTTCGATCTCTTTCCGGGCAGCGGGTATCACGTTTTTAGAAAACGATGCATTGAAGATATTGGTAGGGGGATGACATAAAATATCTGTACATTTCCTAAATATGGTACTAGAAACACCATCAGGACCTGAGCTTTGGGATGGATGGATTCAAGGATTTTAGACATTTTAATACATCGTTTGCGTTAAAACCAGGAGAGCAGCTATCCATTTGACTTTGGACATTAGGAAGGATGAACTGAACTTGTTGATGTATGAATGACCTGTTTAGAGTGCAGACATCCGAACGAGGTTCTATTTTTTTTGCCAGTAAGCTCTTTAAATGATTTCGATATAATGGAAGAATTCTTACACGACATGAACTTTTGGTTGTAAGTAGTAATCAGACGTTGTATTTCAAACATAATTAAGCAGTATGCAGTTTTAGTAGACGTTGTAAGTAGAATGTCTTTTGAAAGCAAACAAATTAACACAGTCAGTCATACTTTTCTGATATTTCTATTCTCTTTTCTTCCATTGTTCGAATTGAGTTCACCTGTACCTCATTAATCTTTTTTTCGTCAACTTTAAGCATTTGTGTTAGATTTTTGGTGTTATTAGCTGAATGGTGATCTCTGTGATTAATGCGATAAGTCACAAGAGTTGGGGGTTTTTTTAAGAGCTTGAATTTTGTTTTGATTGGTCGTTGGAGAGTAAGCAATTTCAATTTATCTTGTCTTAAGTGCTAATCAGGTTCTATCGATCCTTTTGCAATGTAACTACCACATAGCTTACCATCGCGATGGATTTTGAAAGATGTTAGTTGGTTGTGGGACTATCGGGGAGAAGTTATGCTTAATGTATGTTTCTTCCTTACTGACAATCGTTAGCCAAGTGTATCGGCAACCTCATGGCGATTTATGTCTCCGTCGGAGATTTGAACTCGCGTCAACTAACTAACAGCTTGAATCCTTGTCAGTATTGCATCTACTTCTCTCAGGTTATAATATCCATCCGTAAATTCTTTAAAATGTCTCATTTCATTAATATTAATGAGATTTTTCAGTGTATAAGGTGTATTTTTACTTGTTATGTGGGCGAAGTATATTCGAACCAACTAATAAAATAAACAGATATTTTGTATTATTTCTCAGCCTTTCGATCTTACTAGGAAAATCTTTTTATAGTTTGCTACTTTCGCTTGTATATTAGATAAATTTGTAAAAATTTGATTTGGTTATTGTTTTTCTTAGATGAACGAGTTGCTGATGACAACGAAGTCGATGATAATGACAAGTATTGTCAAGATTATTTCTTCATTCATGGTGGTATGGATAGTCAGGGTACAGTGTTTAATGATGCCTACCTTATTTTACTGACTGAATATCAGTTATCAAATCCAATGAATTTTCAGACAATTATCGATCGAAATGATTCAATTACAAAGTGTAAAAATGTATAAATTAAGTAATTAATATAATCCAAAGTAGCTTGACTTCTGTGTACATAAAAGTTTGAGCATATTTCCAAGTTACATGTAAGTGTGTGGTAGTTAGAATGACAGAAAACTCGTGTTAGCATTGTAAAGACAAAAATCAACCTTGTCGATTTTAGAAATCCCTTAAGCAACTGCTATAACCGAGAGTACGACCTAACAGTCCACGAACCTAGCAGACTATGAACAATACAAATCTAACGTGCAGCGAATCGACTCTAAAGTAAATCAGAACGTCAACCACCACTACAACAATACCACCGATGCACGAAGACAAGAAGAGAAGACGGACTGTTGACAGAGAGCTTTTTACTGTCTCAACAACAATCAATACAGTTGACAGGGATGCTGAACATAAGCATTTCCAAATGACCTTGACAACATTAAATCCAAGTATAGTTAACAACCAATGAGTTCAACCTTGAGAGGGGAGGGAAGAAAATTTAGTAACAGTGTGAAAACAGCCATGTAAGTTATACTAAGATTATGAGCAAAACAGCAGATAAAGCTATGCAAGCGAATTGTTCTCTGAACTTGGATGTCATCTGCCAAACCTTTCAATTTCATACTAACCATCTTTCTCAGTGCATCAAACTTTCAGAAGGCACCTCGTACTATAGGAATGAGTGGTTGTGAGAGGTTACAGTAGGATACCTGGTTGGTGTCCTTGAGATACTATACGCTAACGGTTGATGACCGTAAGTAATGTGAGAATCCACTTTCATACAATACTTAAATATACAGAAAGATGATCTAACTATCTGATAGGGCTGAAATGTGTTCTCACACCAACCGTAGTTACTGTTACTGAACTGAGTAAAAACAAGGGGAAGGTAAAACTTACTGTTAAGTCACTTCATCTGGTTAGAGTTTTACTAACTTTAGAAACTGTTTCACGCTATACAAACAAACTAGTGTGAGTAAGAAGATATTTAATGCAATCGCATCTTCATTATTTTGATATTTGTATTTCTTAATGAATGCATCTTGATGATTTCAGGAAGTAAGAGCTAAACAATGGATTTACTGCATATAGCGAAAGAAGTAGTTATGTGAAGAATGAGAATTTGATACCTCATTAAAATTATGAGAAAAAAAATCAATTTCTGGCTGTTAGTTGTCAACTAGCGCGATTAGAATTTTCGTCAAATAACCAAATTCATTTCAGTCACACAACTATTGAATACAGTGTAAGTGTAAAACGTGAGCACTGGTAGAATGTAATTCCATAATAGATTTATCCGATTTATAATACACAGTGATATAGTATTATTAATTTGATGACGACTTTTCGAGCATACGTTATTATTGCTCATAATCATATCAATGTAATCACACTACTTCCGACATTTGATTTTTATAGTTATGTTACTTTATATGAGTTGTTTTATTGCTAGCAAAACTTTCCATATCTCTGGTATAGGCGTTGCGTCGTTTCTATCACATGTGTTGGGTGTAGGTCCGATGAACAAAGATTCAGTAACCAGTCTCTCTCTCTCTCTCTCTACATCTAATTATATTTGACTTAAGTACAGTGGCTTTATCCCACCCTATTGTGTGGTTGTGTGTTAATGCATGCATGGCAATAGCCGAGTAACTTTCTAGATTATTGCTCTTATTGAGGTCTGTCATTCTAGATTTCGCTAAATTCCTATATTCTGCTAATCTAATTGACCCCGACCAGCTAGTTTGATCTATGTACTTGACTTCATAGTCATTGCATGGAATTTTGATGAATTGGTTCTGTCGGATCCTTAAGCAAGCCGACAAAGCTTATCTCTGAGTAAGTTTACAGGTTTTAATACCACTGTAGTTCAAGCCTTGTTGAGAATCCTGCGTAAACTTTCTGATGTACCTCCCTTATAGGGTAGCACAATTGAGGCTGCGAACTCCTTTCTACTCGTGTTGTTGTTATTATTCGTACTCGTGTTACTGCTATTTTTTTCGTCTTCTGTTTATTCGTACGAATATCTTATTAAACTGTGGATGATAATTATTAACTAATAGCGTTTATTTTACGTGCTTCAATTCCTTGTTTAGGTCCTTGCACTGACTAGTCAGTTTTCTAACTCTATCATTTAGAGATGTGACTAAACCTGCCTTAACCAACACTAGATGAGATGACTTGAAGTCTAGATACCTGTTGGAATTTTTCGGTTTTTCGTAGACGGTAGTATTCAAACCACCGCCTATCCCTCGTTTTATTCTGCAATCCAACATAGGTAATTCTCCTTGTTGATTTTCTACCTCGTAAGTAAATTGGATTGTACCTACTACTGAGTTTATATGTGTGAGGAAATCGTCGATGTGTTCCAATGTGAACATAGTAAATTTGTCATCCACATACCCCCACCATATCTTAGTTGCAGGATTATACGTTCGTAAAGCCATGTCTTCCCATCTATCCATAAATATATCTGCTACGATTGAGGATATTGGTGATCCCATTACCATACCTTCTGTTTGTTCATAGGTTTTTTCCTGAAACTTGGAGCTGCACTCGTTATATAGTTTTATCAACAGACACTTAGCTCTATGAGTAAATTCTGAGTCACTATTCATTTGGTTGCTGACTGCCTTTAGTACCATATTGATTGACATTTTAGTGTAGTGTCAAGCAATTATAATCTCAACTTGATAATGTCATTACTTGTATATCTCCTTTGCCACATTGTAACACATCCCATAGGTCGCTTTTACTGTCAACCGAAAGCCTATATGTACCGCATTGTTTCCCGAAGAACAAGAAATGAAGAGAATTTTTGCACTAAGCATTGAACTGTTTATTATGATAAGAAAAAAAATAGTAACATGAAAGAAGTTATATGCTGTGGCATCTGGATCAAGTTTTAAGTGTTGACATTTACAACTCACTTAGTAGAATTGTTAAAGTTTTTGTATTTTCCCATCAAACAAACGCCGAGCAATTGCAACAGGATACGAATTTATGCGATTACAATAGTTCATAACTGTAAACAGCATATATTTTCTATTATTGAAATACAATTCAAGTTAACACACATGGACTCAGACCAGTGTTATTACTCACTGGAATGTAGACACATAGATGACGAGTCCAAAGTAGGACAAAACTCGCGTCCCGGATTCCAGTGCTACTCATAATGGGGCAAATAGCATTGAAATGAACGGCAATTTCCAGTCTTCTGAGTAAGCAGATACCTATCAATTTAGTTTAGAATAATCGACGGGAAATACCGTTAAAACGTTCATACTACTTATTAATTGTCAACAGTATGGTTAAGGTAGCCCAGTAAGAATAGCTTTTGCTGAATATTGTAATTTCATTGCACTTTTGTCAGTTGCTCAGAGCGTAGAAAAGCAAGCAATAATTGTAAAAGATTGAGTTGTCTTGAGGTATCAGCCTATATTTTAAGGATCACAAAAGCCACTAGGTCTCTACAATATATCGAAAGTTGAATTCACTAAGTATTATATATAAACCTGTAAATTCGTGAATACATAGTTGGAGGGATAAAAGATTCCAGAATGTTTTCCCATCAGAAGTCAAAATAGATAATTCCGTTATGATATAATTTTTGCTCTCCCGTTCTGAATCCATTTGAATGCACGGTGAAGCTTTGAAATTTTAGATTGCTAATGCTTCAGCTGTACCTAGACTCTTCCTCCCAGGACTTCGTCATGCCTTGCACAAAACTTTGAAGGACCTATCCAAAGGGGACAGGTATTCTGAGTTTACTAAGTGCCCTGTTACAAAGCTTAGGATGAATTTCCGTTCTCCTTTTTTAACCAGGTTAGATAACGTTCACGAGATGGTGGGTGGTACGGAGGATGTAATCAGCACCTCAGGAGCAAGTAAACTCTCACACACACACTCATCAAGCCCAATGCTCCAGCATATATTTGGCATACTGATGAATAGTTTTCCGATTGAGAAATATAATTCTTAATTCTGCGGTGAAAACGTCCTGTTTGTGGATCTTGATAGCCACTTTCTCAGGATATCTTTCGCCCTTGCATATGAGGTTCAACAATAAAACATTTTACGGAGCAGTGAGTATGCTTTTCAAGATCCTGTTTGGCTTCAATTTCTTATTTATAAATTTCAGTGAGTATTCATTTTGCATCAGAATTTTTGCAGGTTCTTTATTTCATCGTCAATGGTATCCTGATTTTTGAGAAAAGTAGATCGATAAAATTCGTCTGCCCACACATGGGGACACAACTCTGGAAATGAATACACTGTTTCTTCTCAATGGGCTTTCTGTTAATAGAACCGTGGACTGGATTTTCATCTTTCGTTTTAAGCGGGACATCAAGGAAGTGAAATTTCATCATTGACTCTTCATTTAGAGTGAAATTGACAGAGAGATAAGCATCAATGAAAGTTTGAAGCAGCTTTATGGGATTAGTATTCTCATCACAAATAATAAAGCTATAACATATTTATCTTTTGAGGAAATTAAACACGTTAATTATTTTTGGAAAGGTTGTTTTCTAGGCTTTCCATATAGCAGTAGTCAAACTCATTGCCACACAATCTATCTGTCCGCAGATTTTATCATCAAACCTGAATCGTACGTTGACAGCACAGCTAAGAGGATGTTCCTTTGATTAGTGATTTGGTATACCAGTGTTTATGTTTTGTGACTGTATAAAGTCACACAGAAAACAGATGATTTCTGTTTGTGTGACATTTGTAAACAGAAAGACCATCCCCTTCCCTGAAAGACTGGCATCTTTGATGTAATCAACAAAGCGAAATGTATCACGAAAACTATGTTTCAAGGTTTAATTCTTCACTGGTTCAAGTATCTCGAAGAGCCGCGTTGTAACTGAATGTTAAGGGGGAACATTAGTCATATCTAGTATCATGGGTGGAGGGGAACACCTTGTTTATGCATCTTGGGTTCACCATATATATATAATGGAGGGTTCAAAAAACCTCATAGGTAAAGTTGCTAACAGAGGTTAGTGCTAATGAGTGC